TTTCACCTTTTACCTCAGCGAAGTGTCGGTGGAAGATGTAACGTTCGTTGATGAGTTCTCTTAAAAGCACTAATAAGGTTGATCTTCGTTTCTGTAAGGCTTGCTTGCTTGCTTTTTGTACCCCACTAGAACATCACACAAGCGATAAACATCAGGTGACACAAAGTGCCACCATGCGCATGAGAAACCCCTTTTAGCCGTTATGGCCACATTTATGGCCAGGCTATATTTAGGGCTCCCGGCAAAAGCCAGGGTGGGACTTCAAATAACGAAAAATTGCATCTCACGTGGGGACGACAATTATATCAATTCTATTAGGCTGTTTTTATTATATTTTTATAGTATTACCACAAAACAATATATTGTAAACAACAATTTATTCGCATTTGTTGGCTGTATTTCTGAATTCATCAAAGTCTACATTAGAACTAAGGTATGTAAGCGGAGCTTATTCGTGTTTGAGATGCGATGTTCACATAAAACAAATAGCATCACAACAAATATTATAAGAATAATTTGATGCAAGGCAACAGGCATTTTCCTCTTTTATTTCCCTTAGCTACGATGACTCGTCTCTATTGGCTACATTTACAGGCGTATTAGAAACGTGGGAGCCTACAGGCCACTCTGCGTGGTCTTGAGGCATGGTGCCCGCCTCGAGTGCTAGAGCTCCTGGGTTCAAGCTCCCAGTAAAGGCTGGGATTTTTCCACGTGGACTTATAGTAATTTCCTTTGGTCTCTGAATAGTGAGACCGGACGGCAGTGTGATTTGTTGCGCACGCAAAATATCCCCTGGCAGTTGGAAGGCGAAAGAGTAGCTAACGCGCTGCCTGGGCAAAATTTATAGTTGAAAATCTACCCAAAGTATTTCAGGATCCTCGCCGGTCAACAGAGTTCGTGCAATGCGCTGAGAGACTTCAGACTCTGACCTGAGTCAGAACTAGAAAGGAGCACTTATAGGTTACACCCGTGTACGATGAGACTGATCCGTGTAATTAACATAAAGGCCACACGAGACCCACTTCCTTCAGTTGTAAGAAGGAAGGAATGAGCATCCCTTTCCCCCAATAACTGTGTATGGAGGTTAAGCACTCCTCTTCGTCTGTAAATTCTCTTTAAAACATTTTGTTCCTAATGTCATATTAGTTCAGGCGTGTCTATTATTGCTAGTTACAATTTAACTCATTATTCAGACCTGTTGTCCCCATATGGGACGCGTTACAATTTAACTCATTATTCAGACCTGTTTTCCCCATATGGGACGCGTTACAATTTAACTCATTATTCAGACCTGTTGTCCTCATATGGGACGCACATTCTTCGTTTTATAGCCCCAACCCAGCTGTGGTCGGGGGTCCTGATATAACGTAACGGATGACAGGGTTTCTGGGACCTCTCCACAGGTGATCCTCATTTGCATGGTCACACTTTGTGTCACCGGGTGTTTATCGCTTGTGTGATGTCCTGGTGGAACTGATTCTCACTCATTTCAAAACATTACCAATATTACTTTTATTATCTGCAATAGGCAGATTGTGGGGGGCGGGGGGGGGGGGGGTAAGGAGGAGAGGGGGGGGGGGGGGACTCCTAAGCAGCACACAGAAAACATTGGATGGGGGGGGGGGGGAGAAGCGTCAGCCCCCCCCCCCCCCACACACACACCAATGTTTTTTTATGTGTGCCGACGCCAGTGTGTTCCGATGTTTGGACCTTGTGTGACATAGAGTAAAATCTCTATGATGCGACTTCAAGAGTTCGTGTGAAAATAAATGCGTGCTAATTAGGGGCTTTTAAAAGGGGGCGTCATTAGGTAAAGGCAATGATATCCTAGTCTACATGGCTTGGCACCATCGAACTCTTGTTTGGCCCATAGAAGAACATCGGTGGGGTCAGAGATGTGCAGCTTACAGTGTGTCAGGAGTTCAAACAAAGTTACCGACCTCACCCTGTCCAGCAGTAGGACACAGAACAATGGTCTTCTGACCGACCGTAAAAGAATAAATTAAAGTAACTGACTTGACTTAACGACTTCTACTGGTAGATGCATTCTCAACAATACCTCCCAGCTGGGAATCAAAATTGTTCACGTTAACCGAGTGCTCATCTTAAGCGCGTTCGTATTTAAGAGTTTGTAACTGTACACCCCATGTCTGGGAGGACACAGTAGAAGCATAATAGCGACACTGGATTTGCTGTTACTATAGACACGTAGTTTGTTTAAAAGTACACACATACGCGAATCTGTTAATTTCGCAGCAAAATGTGCAACTGCTAGTCATTATACTCGAAACTATTCAACAAGGATTACATGTTCTGCAGAGCTAATATATTATAGGCTACTTGGTAACACTCGGGTGTCCTAATATACATAACGTTGCCGTGTGGCTAAAGGGGATTTCAAGTAGCTGTACCCGTTTGATTCTCATCCTTGAGCGGTTAATCCCACATAATTATGGGGGGGGGGGGTGGAGCTGAAAAATAAGAGGGGAGGGGGGGAGGAGGAATTAAAAATAAGCAAGCATTCAGACAGCAGGTTGAACTTGAATAATACTTCTTGCAGCTGCCCTAAGTGAGGGTCAACTGGGTATGTGGGGTTGGTTCTGTTGGGCTTGTATAAATGATACTTTTTCAGTAGTTGTGGTTTCAAATTGTTGGCTGAAATCCGCAGGAAACAAAAACATTCATTCAGTAAATCGTTTCCATACCCGAAAAAAAGTAAACAAAGAAGAAGAAGAAGAAGAAGAAGAACAAAAACAGCGAAAACAACAAGAAAACAACAGCATCAAGAAAACAACAACAACAACGACAAGACCACATATGTCTGAAATAGAAATGCTGGATTACAATGTAGATACCCCCGCGCATAAAGCGAATATTGTGAGTGAATTCAAAGTTATATGGGATGTTAGTTAATACTGTAATCAGTGACATGCTAAATGGATATGTATACTCACATCTCTGCCCACACCTGCTCCTTCGATGGTGACTCCTGTGAGCCTCTGCAGTCTAGCATTTGAGTTCTCTGTAAAAACATTTACAGATTAATATATTGTGGTTGGCTAGGTGGATGGTTGGTAAGTTCTCTAGTAATGAACAAAGTTGGATCGCTGGTAAGTTCTCTAGTAAAGAACACAGTTGTATCGTTGGTAAGTTCTCTAGTAAAGAACAAAGTTAGATCGTTGGTAAGTTCTCTAGTAAAGAACAAAGTTGGATCGCTGGTAAGTTCTCTAGTAAAGAACAGAGTTGGATCATTGGTAAGTTCTCTATTAAAGAACAAAGTTGGATCGTTGGTAAGTTCTCTAGTAAAGAACAAAGTTAGATCGTTGGTAAGTTCTCTAGTAAAGAACAACGTTGGATAGTTGGTAAGTTCTTTAGTAAAGAACAACAGCTTTATTTATAAGACTTATACATCGGTGTTCTTGTCGAGAGAGATAAAGAAAGACACAGAATGAAAGAGAGACGAGAGAGACGAGAGAGACGAGAGAGACGAGAGAGACGAGAGAGACGAGAGAGAGAGAGAGAAAGAGAGGGGGGCGGCAAGAGTGAGAGAGAGAGAAAGAGCGAGAGAGAGAGTGAGTGAGAGGCAGAGATTGTGAGAAACAAGAGTGAGAGAGAGAGAGAGAGAGAGAGAGAGAGAGAGAGAGAGAGAGAGAGAGAGAGTGAGAGAGAGTGAGCGACAGAGAAACTGAGAGTGAGAGAGGGATAACGCGAGAGGTTTGGATATAAACAGATCATAATTCCAGGACATACTGGCTGATTCGTCCAATAAAATATCCACTAGTGCAGAAACGTACAACGAAATATCACACATGCTCGGACACACACACACACCCACACACACACACACACACCCACACACACACACATCCACACCCACACACACAAAGCAGAGGGAAACAGAGAGAGACAGAGAGACGCACACAGACACGCAGAAATATATGTCTGTCTGTCTGTCTGTCTGTCTGTCCGTCTGTCTGTCTGTCTGTCTGTCTGTCTGTCGGTCGGTCGGTCGGTCGGTCGGTCGGTCGGTCGGTCGGTCGGTCGGTGGGTGGGTGGGTTTTTTCGGTATGTATGTATGTGTGTATGTATGTATGTATGGATGTATGTATGTGTGTGTGTGTGTGTGTATGTATGTATGTATGTATGTATGTATGTATGTATGTATGTATGTATGTATGTATGTATGTATGTATGTATGTATGTATGTATGTATGTATGTATGTATGTATGTATGTATGTATGTATGTATGTATGTATGTATGTATGTATGTATGTATGTATGTATGTATGTATGTATGTATGTATCTATGCATGTATCTATGTATGTATCTATGTATGTATGTATTAAATGGTATAAAGGCACACATATATGTATAAATGTATGGATGCGCACTCACACACACACACACACACACACACACACACACACACACACACACACACACACACACACACACAAACACGTTTTTGAGCATTAGCGTTTCTATTTATCAGATAACAAAGTTACTGTACATTTATACGAACGAGAATTGTTGGTGCCTAAAAAGAAGTAATTTCAACAGTTGAAATAAACAAACGACAATACAAAAACTGGATAATAAACATCATTTATTAACCCAGAAAATAGTACACGCATTTATTTCTGAAAGAGGAGATGCTATATTATAATATCCAATGTCAACATAGAAAGCAGGGCGATAACACGTAACAGAGGAAGCCATTTTGTTCTTATTTAGCTGTCACTGTTCGCTGTTTCTTTTGTATGTCTTCTGTCAACTGACAGTATCAAGTGTATTACAGAATAATGTACTGTACAGAAAGATGTTTGACAGGGGAACAAATCATTAGGAAATACTAAGGTATAGAAAGAAGTACAGTATAGACAGATGTATGATGCAGAAACGTACAGATATAGTTTAGAAGAATATATTGTGCATAAACAAATATCGCACAGAAACAGAAATGGTACAGAAAAAGATATAATTTAGAAAGATATATTGTGCATAAACAAATACTGTACAGAAACAGAAATGGTACAGAGACAGATATAGTTTAGAAACATATATTGTGCATAAACAAATACTGTACAGAAACAGAAATGATACAGAGACAGATATAGTTTAGAAACACATATTGTGCATAAACAAATACCGTACAGAAACCGAAATGATACAGAGACAGATATAGTTTAGAAACATATATTGTGCATAACAAATACTGTACAAAAACAGAAATGGTACCGAGACATATATAGTTTAGAAACATACATTGTGCATAACAAATACTGTACAAAAACAGAAATGGTACAGAGACAGATATAGTTAAGAAACATACATTGTGCATAAACAAATACTGTACAGAAACAGAAATGATACAGAGACAGATATAGTTTAGAAACACATACTGTGCATAAACAAATACTGTACAGAAACAGAAATGATACAGAGACAGATATAGTTTAGAAACATATACTGTGCATGAACAAATATTGCACATAAACAGAAATGATACAGAGACAGATATAGTTTAGAAACATATACTGTGCATGAACAAATATTGCACAGAAACAGAAATGATACAGAGACATATATAGTTTAGAAACATACATTGTGCATAACAAATACTGTACAAAAACAGAAATTGTACAGAGACAGATATAGTTAAGAAACATACATTGTGCATAAACAAATACTGTACAGAAACAGAAATGATACAGAGACAGATATAGTTTAGAAACACATATTGTGCATAAACAAATACTGTACAGAAACAGAAATGATACAGAGACAGATATAGTTTAGAAACATATACTGTGCATGAACAAATATTGCACATAAACAGAAATGATACAGAGACAGATATAGTTTAGAAACATATACTGTGCATGAACAAATATTGCACAGAAACAGAAATGATACAGAGACAGATATAGTTTAGAAACATATTTTTTGCATAATCAAATACTGTACATAAACAGAAATGATACAGAGACAGATATAGTTTAGAAACATATACTGTGCATGAACAAATATTGCACAGAAACAGAAATGATACAGAGACAGATATATTACAGAAAGGAGGCAACATATAAGTCTTCGCGGGGAAATGGTCAAGCCGTTTGCCTGGCGCTCTGAAGGACGTGGGTTCGCTGCACGGCGACGCAATTCAGTTCACAAGTGCAATTTTTACGGAAATAGACTAGGATCGTAGCCATAGATACGAAGTTCGTGCTTTGTGCAATGCTCTCGGCAGGCAGCTAGCTGCTATATCAGATACATTATAGAAATAGGTATGGTACAGAAAAAACATATATGATAAAGAAATAGATAACGTTACAGAAAAAAATATATTGTATAGAAACAGAGATGGTACAGAAAGATATATGGTGCAGAAAAAATGTATGATAAGACAAATTTACGGCATAGAAAGATGTCTAGCACTTAAAGATGTATTGTAAAGACACATTTGTCGTAGAGAAACAGATATTGTACAGAAACAGATATGGCAAAGAAATAAATATGGTACAGAAATAGATCTGGTACAGAAACAGATATGGTACAGAAACAACTAATGTACAGAAACAGATATGGTACAGAAACAACTAATGTACAGAGACAGATATGGTACAGAAACAACTAATGTACAGAAACAGATATGGTACAGAAACAGGTATGGTACAGAAACAGGTATGGTACAGAAACAGATATGGTACAGAAACAACTAATGTACAGAGACAGGTATGGTACAGAAACAACTAATGTACAGAAACAGATATGGCACATAAACAGATATGGTACAGAAACAGGTATGGTACAGAAACAGGTATGGTACAGAAACAGATATGGTACAGAAACTGGTATGGTACAGAAACAGATATGGCACATAAACAGGTATGGTACAGAAACAGATATGGTACAGAAACAACTATGGTACAGAAACAGGTATGGTACAGAAACAACCATGGTACAGAAACAGGTATGGTACAGAAACAGATATGGTACAGAAACAACCATGGTACAGAAACAGGTATGGTACAGAAACAGATATGGTACAGAAACAACTATGGTACAGAAACAACTAATGTACAAAAACAGATATGGTACATAAACAGGTATGGTACAGAAACAGATATGGTACAGAAACAGATATGGTACAGAAACAGATATGGTACAGAAACAGATATGGTACAGAAACAGATATGGTATAGAAACAACTATGGTACAGAAACAGATGTGGTGCAGAAGCAGATATGCTACAGAAACAGATATGGTACATGAACAACTATGGTACAAAAACAGATATGGTACAGAAACACCTATGGTACAGAAACATAAATGATACATTAAAAGATATTGTACAGAAATATATATATATATATATATATATATATATATATATATATATATATATATATGTATATATATATATATATGTATATATATATATATATATATATATATATATATATATATATATATATATATATATATATATATATATATATATATATATATATATATATATATGGCACACTGTAGAACAACAACAGCAACAGAGAGAAAAAAAATATGAAAACACAACAGGTTTAACACCAATGTTTAAAATTTCTTCCTAATGAGGCAAAGGTCAGAAGATTATGGTACGTCAGTCACATACACAAATAAACACGGACAGTCTTAAACAATATTTTTTTTTTCGAAGAGTTAACAATTGGACACAGGGGCCTGTCTTTCCTCACTCCAAGGATATATTTTCTATTGATAAACCATTCCAGTAGATATTAATACCAAACATAAAAAAGTATAGGGAGATACACACACACTCACACACACAAACACACACACACACACACACACACTCACACACATACAAATATGCATGCAAGCAAAGAAGAGCACTATTTCATTCATGTCTCAGGCTGGCACTACCTGTGTCTACAAACCTGGTACTATCAATATGTACAAACCTGGTACTATCAATATCTACAAACCTTGTACTATCAATATCTACAAACCTGGTACTATCAATATCTACAAACCCGGTACTATCAATGTCTACAAACCTGGTACTATCAATATCTACAAGCCTGGTACTATCAATATTTACAAAACTGGTACTTTCAATATCTACAAACCTGGTACTATCAATGTCTACAAACCTGGTACTATCAATGTCTGCAAACCTGGTACTATCAATGTCTGCAAACCTGGTACTATCGATGTCTGCAAACCTGGTACTATAAATGTCTGCAAACCTGGTATTATCAATGTCGACAAACCTGGTACTATCAATATCTACAAACCTGGTACTATCAATAATTACAAACCTGGTACTATTAATATCTACAAACCTGGTACTATCAATATCTACAAACCTGGTACTGTCAATATCTACAAACCTGGTACTATCAATATCTACAAACCTGGTACTATCAATATCTACAAACCTTGTACTATCAATATCTACAAACCTGGTACTATCAATATCTACAAACCCGGTACTATCAATGTCTACAAACCTGGTACTATCAATATCTACAAGCCTGGTACTATCAATATATACAAACCTGGTACTGTCAATATCTACAAACCTGGTACTATCAATGTCTACAAACCTGGTACTATCAATGTCTGCAAACCCGGTACTATCAATGTCTACAAACCTGGTACTATCAATATCTACAAGCCTGGTACTATCAATATTTACAAAACTGGTACTGTCAATATCTACAAACCTGGTACTATCAATGTCTACAAACCTGGTACTATCAATGTCTGCAAAACTGGTACTATCAATGTCTGCAAACCTGGTACTATCGATGTCTGCAAACCTGGTACTATAAATGTCTGCAAACCTGGTATTATCAATGTCGACAAACCTGGTACTATCAATATCTACAAACCTGGTACTATCAATAATTACAAACCTGGTACTATTAATATCTACAAACCTGGTACTATCAATATCTACAAACCTGGTACTGTCAATATCTACAAACCTGGTACTATCAATATCTACAAACCTGGTAATATCAATATCTACAAATCTAGTACTACGTATATGCACAAACAAAATACTATATGTATGTAAAAGCCTGACACTATCTACGTGTACAAGCCTAGCACTATCAATAGCAACTAAGCTGGTACTATCAATATCTATAAACTTAGTATTCTCTATATGTACAAACTCGGTACTATTAAAATCTACAACCCTGGTACGATCTGTGTGTTCATATCTAGCACTATCAATATCTACAAACCTGTTACTATCTATATATGTATACACCTGACAATATATATCTACAAACCTGGTACTACCGGTATCTACAAATTGGTATCATCTAGATCTGTAAACGAGTTTGGTGGTTGCCTCGAGAGTACGAGCCCTTCGCTTCTAATAAACAGATCACGCATTTGTTCAACTTTGACTCTGAACTAGCAATCTAACACGTCGTTAATTTGTTCAAATGTGAATCTGAACCAGTTCCAGGATCTAAAGTTTTTCATTTGTTTAACAGTAAGTCTGAACCAACATTGGGATGCAACATTTTTTTTTTTTTTACATCTGTTCAACAGTGAGTCTGAACCAGCATCGGGATCTAACATTTTTTCCCCAATTTGTTCAACAGTGAGTCTGAACCAGCATGAGGATCTAACATTTGTTGCAGGTGATCAACAATGAATCTAAACCAGCACTTTAATTTAAAATTTATTTCATTTGTTCAATAGTGAGTCAGACATTAGATCTAGCATAAATTCCTTTTACCTAAACAACAGTAAAAAAAAAAAAAAAAGATAAGAAAATATCAGACATTTATTACCCTGAATTTATATTCATATATTTGTATTTGAAGACTGACAGGTGAAGACACACTGAGACGATAACCATACTGCAGTGTTAGTCCTAATAGCCACCCATTTGTTCTAATAAAATTAAAATGTTCTAGATTGTCAGGAAATTCCCCAAGGTACAATTACACTGTATCATGCAGTGATCATCCCGGCTTTAACGTATTGAACTGTCCCGGATCAGATAACAGAAACGAAGGCGTGGTACTTTTCCCCCGTTAAAATACATTAGCCAATCTGTGATCTCTATCATGGAGGCTGATGAAAGAAGATGAAAGACGTGTTATGCTTTCACAAAGTGGCAATTACGGTCAACGGCGACCTGAATATTTGTCTTCTCCGACCATGATTTATGCCGGCAAAAGTTGTTTTTGTGTCGTCACTCACGTCAACCAAGGTTTGCTGTGTGGTGTTAACTTCCCGTTATCGCAAGGTTATTTCAGCCATATGTAAACCCCATTATAGGATAAATACGTTGACACCAAAGATGGTATAATTTACACGTCATAATATGAAACTGACAGCTGAGATTGGCCATTGACAATTGTCTCGTTCGAAAATGAGACTGACGTGCCAGGGACTGATGGAAATCCAAAAGTTTATTGTTGATGCTGAACTGAATAATAATTGAGTTTTAGATTTTTATAATATTATGTCTGAATCAAAGTTCAAGTGCTAAACATGACGGGACATTGCTCCCAAGGGAAAACTAGATATCTAAGTCTAAAAATTCTGCCCTCTTTAAAAAAAAAAAAAATGTATTTCCCAATGGAAAATATGCCTCCTGGGTGCTCGCTCACACACAACCCCTTAACCTTAGGTTTCCTGGCTGACTGGACTGCACAGCTACAGTTTACTATGGGATAAGCTAGCCAGACTTGCGCCAGTCAACACTCGGGCGTAAACTTAGCGACATGCTTACGAAAATCCTGACTGGGTTGATCAGGTAAGATTGGATAGTAACACTATAGACATCGCGAATTCCTGGCCTAACCTTTATCTTTGTGCCAGATCAAGCTAGTGTTGAGGCATCAAGTGTACATAATATCTTGCAGACACCCTGGTTGCTATGGCTGGTCCCGTACAGGAAAAGGCGATTTTATCAGTGCCATGCGCAGTACTTACCGCGAAGATGAACAAGATAAAAGACATGACCACGACTGCCCCCAGCTGTCGGGTCTTGCTGCTGACGTCACCGGGTCGGTCTAACACAGCGGATCTTAAACAGGAAATAAACTATTTTTTGACAGTGGCGAGGGAAGACAAATTAAGTTTAACTTTTAAGTATCTATATGCCTTCTGTAATAATTCCACAATTTTTAGCCGACTTTTCTTGATTATTGCCGCGGCACCCATGGCATATCCTCACAGCACTCAGGGTGCTTCGGTACCTAGTTTGAGAACCGCTGCGTTAACGCATCGTTAGCCTGGCCCGGTGACGTCTGCAACACGGCCTGTCAGCTTGAGCCGGTCGTGGCATGACTTTGTATCCCTGTCTAGACTGATATGCATGGGGTGCAACCTGGAGCTGTAAGAAATGAACATTTCACAAAGGGTGCAAGAAGTCTGATCAATGAGCACAGAACAATTGCCATTTGTCGTTTCACAGTTGTGCAGCTTTTGAGGAAGAGATCAGAGCACCTATGGATCTGTCCGGAGTGCTGTGATTATGATTCTCACCAATCACTAATTATGCCAACCCGCTGTAGACGCCTTCTGCGACATGCAGTAAAACTTAAGTTAAAGGTCACGGTAGCAACCGGGTGTCTATATATAAGCAGGCTATAAGAAGAAACTCCACAGCGGAGCATGTACAGCAGGAGTCTACCAATCATCAGTAGAAGTAACCTCTCGTCGACAAATGTTTCGGCCCACGATCTCCTAGACATTTTCAGAGAGTGGGCCCACCTGAGTTCATGAGGCTCAGGGTTGATTTCATCCTGCTGCACGTATTACAGGATGATTCAATTTAAGATTAAAAGTAACATACTTTAGAAGCAGTTAACTGGAAGACATTACGGATCTGTGGCTTAAAGGTTAGCTCTGAATTCGCCCTCAAAAGGACCGATGTTTCACAGATCGAATGCTAGTTCAGTGTTTTTCTCCCCTACATTTCTGTGAACTCCTAATTAGTTGCCTTGTAAGATTTGTTTGTGACGGACAGTGGACACTTCCATTGAATGGAATACAAACGCCCTGGGTATTAGGCGAGTAAGCCACCCAGAACGCTACGTACGTTAGCTTCAGTTCTCAGCCTCACAGTAAAATCCCTATCATTCTTTTCTTGTTTGTTCCCAGCTCACATAAAAAAAAAAAAAACCACGTGACTTGCCAGTTGATCATCATTCGCCCTGCCCAGCAGTGTAGGTTTTCATGTCTCCCCACACATCTTCGTTCTTGGTACTGTTTTTTTTTTTTTTTTAAATTCCACTGACGATATAGTACTGGTGGACCAGTCAAAACAACCGCAGTGTCTGCAAGATAATCTGTACACTTGTTGCCTCAACACTAGCTTGATCTAGCACAAAGATTAAAGCTAGGCCAGGAATTCGCGATGTCCATAGTGTTAATATTCATTCTTGCCTGATAATGTCTGATGATGATAAAGGTACAAACATATACATCCTAAAGACATTGTCAGAAAGAGCTAAAGATGTAAAGACCCATTTGTACTTATGCTTCATAGACTATACAAAAGTATTTGTGTGTGAAACATGAAGAAGTAATCAAACTATTAGAAAAATTAAACATTGATGAAAAGATCCACGAATATTACAGAATATGTATTGGCAGAAAACAGTAGCTATAAGAACTTACAACTTTTAAGGTACGTTTCAGTGCACAAAGAGGGACGTAAGACAAGGATGTGTGTTGTAACCTGATTAATTTTCATTGTAAAGTCAATATATAATGAGATCTCTAACTGATATGCCTAGAATTGTGGTTAGTTGGCATAATGTAAACAATTTACGTTATGTTGATGACAATCTTGATAGCAACAACTCAGAAAGAACTACAGGAAATGATAGACAATGTGGTGGTAGAAAGTGGAAGAATGGACCTTTGCTTGAATAATGGAAAGACAGGTGGTATCAAAAAAAAAGAATTTTTCCTAAATGTGTACTACAAGACAATGGTGTTATTTTGGTACGAGTACAGAAATATAGGTATCTGGGCACACGGATAACATCAGATAGAAGATGCATTACTAAGATAAGAAACAAAATAGGACAGGCAACAATTGCATTTTATAAAATAAAGAAACATCTTATGCAATATATCTCCGACATTGAAGGTTGGAAAAAGAATTCTTGCTTGCTACATACCTTCCAGTTGTAATATATGGTTGTGAGTCCCGGACAATCGGTAGGCAGGTTAAACTATTTTTTGAGGCCTCAGAGAGGTGGTTTTACAGAGAAATGCTTAAAATACCTTGCACAGCCAAAACGAGCAACCATGAGGTTTTGAAAGTGGCGGCAGCCCGAAGACAACTTATCCCAGACATCACAAGGAAGTAGTCATTATTTCTTTCGGCCATTTTATAAAAAGAGTGACAATAGAATATGTTGTGACCACTGGAAAGATTTGTGGATGGAGGTAAAGCGGGAGACAACGACAGAAGATTCTTGACAGTTTTACTGCTTGGTATGAAATCGTGTCAGCGAACAAACTGATACATACTGCAGGAGATCGCAGATTGTGGAAAGGCATGATCGCTCACGCCAGTCAGCAAGGCACCTGATGATGATGATCATAAGGATGATAATATTCCACCATGCCATCGCTTCACCCAAGCATGCATCGTCAACCTTGGGCTGCTTGCGCCTCTTCTACCACTGAATTTGTCGATGTTCTCAGATGCTTCTCTTATCAACACAAGAAGAATACTGTCTCTCTAATTGTCAGTTCCAAAACATTAACAATATCACATTAAAACAACATACAGGCAGCCACCTGGAGAATGTACAAGTCGGACGCATAATACAGGCAAACAAAAATTACAGTAAATAATCGCAATCTAGCTAAACAATCGAATGGAACTATTAGAAACATTTTTTTTAAATCGCAGAATAATCTGATCCTTTAAATATTTCTTCTTCTTCTTCTTCTTCTTCTTCTTCTTCTTCTTCTTCTTCTTCTTCTTCTTCTTCTTCTTCTTCTTTGTTATTCTTTTCTGCTGCTACTACTGTCGCTGCTTCTTCTCCTTCTTCTTCTCCTCCTCTTTCACCTCCTCCTCCT